TGTTTTCAGCAGGGAAATGTACTTTCCGTCAGCCGGAGATTCAGCAGAAGAAAGACCCCTTCTGTTACGCGTTGGTATGGAGAAATGTTTAGCGTCCTGCCCCGCGAAAGGCTTAGCGCGGTTCTGAAGGGGAACGGAAGGCCTTTCCTTGCTCTTCTAGATTCTGACAGAACTGCTCCCCCGAGGGACGGAGGGAGGTCATGCTGGATGGGGAGGGAGGTGGATTTGGAGAGGCGGGACGGATGTCACCAGAGCCTTAGAAGGGATTTGGAGACTGGAGATGTGTTTCTGTGTCTGTATCTTTCTGATATGGGGTGCTATTTTCTTTGTTCTTTTACTCTGCGCCTGCCCCTTGATGACTGCATGCGAGCGATGCTGGACACGAATACCATTAAAAGGGATGAAAGAACGTGCACGACTCCCAGCTGCGCTTAGTGAGCTGAGTCTCGGCCCCGAGGCGCTTGGCCGGAGAGGGCAGCCGGGCTGCCTGTCTGGACTCCCGGGGGGAACTCGGCGTTCTCCAGGGCCGCTGGCGAAACCGCGTGGAAAACAATCCCAGATCAGAGCACAGGGCCTGAGCCCTAATTCCAGGCCCCTTCGCAAATTCTGCTTGCACTGTGTTGTGGGCTCAGTGATCTTTTCGCCCTTTCTTTACAGTGCCAGCCAAATAAAACGGGGATTTAAGAGCTGTAGTAGAGAGGTCCAAGGAAGAAAATAAATAAAACATTTTACCTGTGCTTTTCCAGCTCGTTGTGCACTGATCTATGGGGGAGAAAAAAAGCACAGGTCAATCAAACTACCTTAAGAAAAGCAAAAGGGTCTGCTGTATAACTAAACCACAATTCAATCAACACGACTTTGGGAATTATCTAAAATGCTAATATTGGGAACTCTTGAGGCCACTGAAAAAAGTATTATTCCTCCTCTCGTGAGAAGTGTCTGATGGGGTGTATTTTTTTTTTTTAAAAAGCAGACAAGATTATGTGCGATGCTTTAAACACAACGACAACGCATATTTTAAGTACATGACAATTTTCCATTTCGAATCGGAAGCATCAACCCACGTTACCACAGGCCTGAAATTAAGATTTATTCAAGCCTGTGCTTCTGCAGCCCTTAACTGCAGGAAATTAGTGCAAGTCTAACCGCACGTCTTGAGCGCTCAGGAATAATGTTTATCACAGGAGCACGGTGACACCCGAGTAGATTTCCCGTCTTCTTCACAAAACGATATTTCTGGGAACCCTTTGACAAAATCCTGAAGTTTGAGTTGGGATTAGAGAGGGCGAAATCAACCGCAAGACCTTTAGTACTGTAAATCTTTACTTTATTTGTAACACAGCAAACCTATTAACAACCGAGTAAGCGCACCACGCCCAAACTCGGGTTAACTAGAAACGTAAACACGGTAATCAAAACTACAGTAACAGTTCCCGAATCGCTTGTCCGATACAATATTTTTGGGGGGAATAATAATTTCACTTGAAAGCAGCGCGCTTTTGGACAAGAGGCGCCTTACCTGACGTTGTCCGGATTCTTCCTGGTTTTGGGTTTGTGTCTCTTGTCCGACAGCCCTCTGCTAGTCAAAGGCTGCAGCGATGCATAGCCGTGCTCTGCTTCTAAAAAAAAAACAAAAAAAAAAAACAAGCCGGGGTCACAATCTCTTTGTCTGTCCCCACCAGACAGGGTTAGAGACAGGCTGGGCTGCGCTCCACCGGAGCCGCCTTTCGCATTGACGAGCATTACCCACCAGACAAACACGTCTGAAAAGGGGACATATTCCCACACGCTGAACTGTAACTCGGAAAAGTAACATTGCTGCTGCACCCAATTCCTCATCTCCGCGCGTTTCTGCGGGTGTGATGCAGCCTTGTCGACGACAGTGACAGGTCCCCCTCCCAACCAGCCGGCGATCAAAACACAGACGGTCTTTTTTGGCGCCACGGTCAGCGCTAATCTTGGGATGCCGCACACACACACACAAAAAAAACCGAGCTGATTTTCAGGCGATTTCAGGCTCAAGCATCGGAGATAAGGAGCTACCCTCCTCCCCGGTGCAGGGCTGCGTCCATGAAACCCCGCTCCGGGCTCGTCTCGGTTTTTGAACCAGTGACGGCTTGGCGCCTTTGCGCAATAACAATATTGTATAACATAATATTTGGGTCAGCCAGGGGGACGGGCTCAGCGCGAAGGCCAGCCGAAACTGGATCTCGGCGGACGCAAACAGCTGCACCTCGATACGATCTGCATTTTGCACGGAACCCCCCACAAAAACAAAAACAGGAGAATAGTTCAGACGCAGCAGTCCTGTCTGAGCTGCAAGCCAAAAGAGAAAGTATCCGAGCTGGGAGCTAACTTACCTCTTTCTCGCCTGTCCAAGTACTCCGCGGCCTGCAGCAGCACATGGATGTTACAGTTATTATTTTCCATTTTTCCCCCCACCCCTTGCTTTTAAAGGCCGTGCAAACTGGAAAGATGGGTGCAGCTATTCCTCCTACCAACCCCACTAATTCCGTGCCGAAGGGGTGCAAAGTGCTACCGAAGGTGCCTTGTTTAAGGCTGACGTCACCTTCCCCCGCCTCCCTAGACGTTAGGGCGCGCCCTTGCAACGTCGACAGCCACAGAAACACGCCCCCTGAGCGCCGTCGGAAGGAGAACAGTGCCATCTTTGTTGTGGCGTAAACTTAAAAATACTTCATTTTTACCCACCGCCTTTAAGCCCTCCGACCACCATCGTGTTGTGCACATCCAAACTGGCCTCGGCGCTGAATCTAGGCTGCAGGGGCAGTTCAGAGTGGGGTAAAAGGATCATCACAGCCTTCATCTTTCACTTCCCCTGCATCGACTTCAGTAATCGATAGAGCAAAAGTATAGCTCCAAACTTTGAAGGTGTTCGGCAAATTTGGTCAGATCAATGAACGGATATGTTCATCTCAAGATATAGCCCTTTCTCGGGGAGGAGTGGGAAATAATTCAGCCGGTACTTCGGGAAAAAAAGTAAAGTCGTTCAGCATTTAATTCTGCCGCATTCAACATGGACGTCTGCGTGCGACATTGGCGTTTGACCACCACGTCGATTTTCATTGGCCAGTGGGCGACAAGGACCGCCCCCACAGCGCGGTGTTGTAGCCGGATTGGCGGTCGGGAAGGGAACGTGACGTCTTGCAGAGATGGTTTAAAAATACAAGCAGGCGGGAACAGGCGGAAGAGTTTGAAAATTCAAAAAGGTAGAGAAAACGAGGGAAAGTGGTCCTTTGCGTGAAAGGACTGCCTTTCCAAGTCCAACTTTCTGAAACGCAGCAGACGTCTTCCGGCATTTGCACTGAATTACGCTGTGTAATACTGCGACGAGGACGGAATCATTGGAGATGGTTTTCTCGTTGCTAAATCTTACTTTAGTTTCACTACTGGTAAATTATGAAATTACATAAAACCACAGGGAGCACAGACCCGTGCTGCAGATTAGGTTGTTAAACATTTCAAATTTATTGTCGAGAGGAACTCCATTAGACTTTTTTTTACAAAAACATTTTAAAAAAAATTCTACCCATTATGTAATTAAATACAATTTTCACGTTTTAATGAAGTTTGCAACTTAACTAGGAATTCCCTGAAATTACTACATCATGGTGCAAAAGGGGTTTCTCTCAATACTTGAAAGTATAAATCCAGAATTTCACAATGTGCAGAGCTAGGAGAAAAATAACCTTTCTTGCTGAAGAGCAGATGCATTTCTGGAACAGTGATAGCCACAGGAGCCTTAGGAACTACAGATCTACAAAACTCTTGGGAAAATCTAAGGGAAATACATACAAAGGCTAACTTAAAATTCTGTAGAGAGTATACAGAAAAAAAAAAAGATTAGTTGTGACTCAGTCTGCAGTCATTGGCCAAGCACACTACCGAACACCCAGCTTTTCCCCCCCCACAGAACCAAACCCTCCAGATCACCCCCACCCCACCCAAATCAAGTCCGTTTTCCGTCCACTCCTCTCAAAGCGGCGTGGTTTCTCCCACGATGTGGAAATCGTAGCAGTGGTTGCACACGCGCACCGGCTTCATCTGTCCGAAGCGAGGCAGCGGGGCCTCGTGGGGGGAGCAGCGCGCACAGAAGATCTGAAACGAGCAGGAGAGGCCAGGCCATCGACTTCGTCCTCTGCTGGAGGAGGCAGGATTATCCGGTGCGGGGTCGCGGGGGAGCAAGGCAGGGTACAGCCCATTTGGGACACCAGG